ATGAAATTGCCAGTCAATTTAACTCGTGATATCACTGCGGTAGTTTAATAGAGTTAGCGTTTCAAGACCGAAAAATCATTTCGGCGCGCGTTTCTGGGGACTACATACGTACGTAGTATATAATTCACATAAGAATCATACAAACATTAAGATCCAGCTAGACCGTTTAAGGCTTTGATTTCTATAGTTTGTGGCTTTATAACATAAACTTTATAATATAAATAATAAAACTTTGTAATATATATAAACTTTATAATGTATAAAGTCACTGTCATTGTCTATTAAACCACGCTTGGCCATGCAAAGTTTGCCGCGCAACCCATCGTACTGTCTAGTATGTATCTGTAACACCCTGTACATATGTACTTTGATAGTGCAGTTTTTAATTCTACACAAAAATTAATTTAGAAATCCTGATAATTCCTGGAAGTTATATGTACCAAAATGTAATAATACGATGGTAACTAATCTGTATTAAAATGTAAATTTTACGAAGCGTAAACGTTTTGCCTTAAAACCATTTACAATTTACTTGGTAATTTTTATTATGTAGTATATAGATACCTTCAGCACGATATTGTACAAAGGCTTATAGTCCATGTGGTATATAAAGTGTCAAAAAATTATATAATGTTTGTGATACTCTTTTATTAATAACTTTTTAACGAATAACAAATGACGGATAAAATTTATTCACGATCACTCAAGGACATAATCTGGACAACATACAATATATCAAGGTTAAGGTTATTGTAGGGTAAGGCCCTTACACTGCATATTTACCAAAAAAAAAGTATAATATATCTAAATATAATATAAATAATGGACACAGTAACGATACTGAATTTGACACAAAAAAATGGTTTACTGTTCCATACCTGAAAGACATTTCGGAAAAATTCAAAACTACTTCAAACAAATTTGACTTTAACATGACTTATAAACCTATGAACTCCCTCTGAAAAACAGAAAAAGATCGACTAGATATTATGAACCAATGTGAAATAGAATATAAAATAAATTGCTTGGATTGTGTTTCTCGTATGTTCGTCAAACTAAGAGGAAACTTAAAACCTGAATGAAAGAGCACGCATAGCTAATATTAAAAAATCTACTTGTTTTTTATCCGTGGTTTCCTGCCATCATCAGTTAGAAAATAATCACAGATTAGACTGGGATAATGTTCATATCATGGATTCAGAATCTTTTCATAAACGCATCAATGACATTTACCAGGTGTACAAGTATGAAATACGGATGTTTTTTCCGAAAAAAACACGTTAAATTCGGAAGAATGATAAAAAGTGGTTTATTCAAAGTATACTCCATTACACATTTTTCCCATCTTTCGGGTAATTTGTGGATACCACGCCAGTAAAAATCTTCCTCTTTTGCCGCGAACCATTCATCGAGCCATTTTTTCACATCTTCGTACAAACCAAAGCGCTGCTCAGCAAGTGCGTGACCCATCGATGCAAACAAGTAATCGGAAGGAGCCAAGTCTGGTGAGTAAGCCGCATGGGCTAGCACTTCCCAGCTGAGTGCTTCCAACGTGTCGCGAACCGGTTTTGCCGTATGTGATGGAGCATTGTCATGGAGAAAAATAATCTTGTGTTGCCTTTTTCGATATTCTGGTCGTTTTTCGAGTAGCGAACGGTTTAAATCGATCAATTGTTGTTGATAGCGTTTGGTATTAACCGTTTCAGCAGGTTTTAACAGCTCATAATAGACCACACCCTTCTGGTCCCACCAAACACAGAGCATCATCTTCCTGCCAAAGCGATGCGGTCGATGTGGATGGTGCGCCTGGATCTACCCATGATTTTTTGCGTTTGGGATTCTCAAAATATATCCACTTTTCATCCCCAGTAACGATACGGTGCAAAAACGACTTTCTTTTGTATCATTCGAGTAAAATTTCACATGTGTTTTTGCGCCTCTCCATCTGCCTCTCGTTCAACTCATGTGGTATCCATCTGCCGACCTTCTGAATCTTTCCCATCTCTCGTAGGCGATTGGAAACAGCTTATTGACTAACGCTCAATTGCTCTGCGAGTTGTTTTTGTGTTTGTGAATCGTCTTCGTCCAACAATGCTTGCAATTCTACATCTTCGTACCTTTTTGGCGGTTTTCCGAGTTCCGTGTCTACAACATTGAAATCATCACTTTTGAAACGCCGAAACCATCGTTCACACGTATCTTGCGATGGAGCATGTTCACCATAAGTTTCTCGAAGTAATCGGTATGGTTCAGCAGCAGTTTTCTTCAAATGAAAACAAAAAATTAATGCTGTCCGCGAATGCTCTTTATTTGGCACAAATTTCGACATATTAAACACAACAAAACAATACTATGCAAACATTTTTTCAATTTATCACTTATGCGCGTTTGACACTTGTTGATGGCACAACAAAATAGCATGTACGTCAAATCTTTATACTACACACTGCATTGGTGCACCATCTGTTGTCTCAAATCCGCACTTCATACTTGTACACTTGGTATCTTTCGATACTGTCCAACGATATCCCCTCTTAGCTCATTTCACTTTTATCCTTCATCTCACTCTCCCTTATTTTAATAAATACTTTGCCAAAATTTTTTACAGTTCAAATAAACATACACACTCCTTTAAACTATTTAGAAATATTTTCCATCTCCTACAAGACGTCTTGTTATTGACGAGGATTCTAAAGTATCCTGGATGTACTATTGTGCTAAATACGGGTTAATAATATTAATAATATTAAGGTAATCATATAAATAATTCTAAATTTCATTTTAACTATCTATTCTGACACCTTGTTGAATCATAAGCATTTATATTAAGAGTTAGGGCTCTCTTGTACTAGCATACTAGTTACTAACAAGAAACAAATCTTAACTTAAAAGAATCCGCAATATAATTGTAAATTCGAACAAACATTCTGTGCTACACATTTTATTAAATAGCATCATTTATTTACTTTGTTTAACTAGCAATGTAAACTAATGTATTACCGTATAATGTTTTATTTTACCATGCGCCGATTTTGTTTATGAATATTTTATCATCTTGACACTATATTTTTGGTTAATTTATACTTTAATTTTATACATATAATATACTGAAGATGGCCCAATTTTGGCTATCTTTTGAAACATTTATGATTAGTTCCTTTATATTGTTAACTGAATTATTTTAAATACACGACTTATTGCAAAATAAACCTAGCATTGTGGCTCTCTATACTCCTTCTATTTATTGTTTTCGATAAAATAAAAATAAGATCATCTTACCACCGCGCCGTTGATTCTGGGATAAACTGAAAAAGTGGTATATTTACTAATTTAATTAGAATTGTATATGTATAACTTTGTTACGTACATAAGGCACATATAATAACGCACACACGCATGCATGCACATACACATTATATGTAATATGATCCAACATAACATTTCATGGTTTTATATGGTTTACAAATATTAGAAAATTTAATTTTGAGATATTTTGGAAAAATAATCAGCTATGATTTCAAGATTTACATTTTTTTAACCTATGAATGGTTATAAATAAAGCTACAAGTAAAACCCGTTTTTTTTTTTACATTTTCAACGTACCTATTAACACTTGAAGACCACTGTGTATAATTGTATATATAATTTGATACATAAAATTACAAATAGAACTATATTTCGAATTCTATCGTGAATTATAGATTATATGTATTAAGTGACCTTAACCCAATAAATGTAATATAACAAAAGTAAAATAAAATTTTATTTAAGTTTTATTAAATACGCAATTCTATGTGCTATCTTTGATAATTACATATCGTCACGGAAATAGGGCGCCATCGGAACTGCAATCATTGCGTTTCCGTCACCACTGCATCACGTTCATAATGTCACTTTCATGTCTCAAAATGTATCAAAATAATATCAATAAAGCAAGACTTTGAACTTCATAAAGAATTATGTTATGTGTACATTTCAGTATTATAAATAAGACTGAGAAAATTTAGAAAATGTATGTAAAGATAAAAAGATATATGCTAAAATAAGAGTCACAAAAATTTGATGAACAAGTAACATCCCATTTTATTCTATTCTTTTGATAACAATGTCTCCAAAAGTATCGTTGAATTAATGAAGTGAGAATCATTCTAGAAAGGTGAAACAATAATGTGAGATCGAATAGACCAACAACAACCTTTACATGCGTTTTCACCACGTGATTATAACGAAATGTAATTCCAACGTTCCACGAAGGTGCCATGGAACATCGCGCACCTGTACCAACATTTCCGTTGTATGTGTGTACACGTAAATAAATACATACATGCACGCTGAGATTACGTATGTTCGTTCCGACTGTCATCGGTATAATTACGTTTGCAAACGGCAAACGCACTCGTGCATGCGACACCGACTCGCATCCAGACACAACTGCGTTCTCTCATCGTAGAAGAAAAGATAATAAATTATACGTTGAAAAATTATATAAGTAGGCAAAGAATTAATAGAAATTAGACAAGAGTGATAAGTTTAAGGCTTACAATTAGTGGAGAGCATTTCATTATTACAAATTTAGGAAAAAAAACCTACTTTTGTTACCACATAAAAATAATTCTGTTAACAATAAAAGATATAATCAAAAACATGAGAAAGTTTAAAAATTTAGAAAATTTTAATTAAAATTAAATAAATTAAATATTAGAAATATGTAGTATATAATATATATACATATATAATATTTTTTTAGTGTAACTTAAATATTTTATAATAAAATTAATTGTTACACGTAAATATTTTATAATTAAATCAACAAGTTGAAAATGAAAAGGATATTTAAAAAACATAAAAGTCAAAGCTTAATGTAACATACGTTTCTTATATGGATTCCATTTTTCATAAAATGTAATTTCTAAGATCTTTTTTACAAATATTGGAATTTTTTATATTTGTATTATATGATAAGAATATTTGCTTAATTTCGTCAAATTCGTTATACTTACTTCAATGTCATCTTTCTCAATTCTCCGATCGTCGGATTATATTCCCTGTTCTCTCTGCTAATTATTGCCACTCCTTCATCAACGTTTACTGCATATCCGTTCACTACCAAGTCCATCAAATCCGAGAAATCATCGTGCTTTTTTATTGATGACAATGACATTACCCCGCTTTTCTTTGATTTTTCAATGATGGGTGTTACGTCGTTATTAGCCTGCTCACGACTGCCGTTACCTCGTTGAAGAAATTTCCGACGGAAATTGTTGTAAACGGTATCAGTCTCCGGCGAATCACCGATTCGGACTCGAGCATGGCTGGGATTCAAATGATGGCCACTGTAGCCCAAGTCCATCTGTAAATCCATCACTAACAATAACGTGAACACGATAGCGAGCGCGCTCAAACATAGAACCAACTTGTCACGAATACGGATAAGTCTAACATTTAGTCTCATTTTAGTATTTTTATTGGGCTTCTTGCTGATCGTTCTATGTATCTTCTCCCTCTTCAATAACTTTCGCTCAATTAGTGGCAACTGTGAATTATTCGATTGACAATATATAAAAACGTACGATTTTTTAAACAATCGTTGATTATTTAAAACTTCAAGATTATCGACTTTTTTCAATGTGTGAGCATTTATCTTAACGGATGAATTTTTTAAAACTTTTTCTGAATTTTTTATCTTTATAATGAAATCTTTATCTTATTAAGTGGGTTCTTTAAGATGCTTTTTTTTTCATGGTCTGTTTTAGAATGTATTATTAATAGTACTTGTAAATTTATATTACCAAATTGATGATTTATAAAGAACAATTCAAAGAGGTTTTGTAAACCTCTTTGAATCAATTGTTGATGATATGAAGTTTCAAGGTCTATTATCGTCAAAGTGAGCGAGTTATTAATATCTTTTTTTGTAACTTGATTTGTCAAGATTTCTTCAGAATCTTTTATCTTAATAATTGATTCTTTTAATATTTTTTCGAACTCTTGCACTTTGATGATTTGACATTTAAAGTTTTCACCAAAGTCTTTTTCCTTGTATATATAGATAGTTAACGAATTCTTCGGGCTCCTCTTAGAATATTTTTCAAAATTCGAACATTTTGTCACACTTTCAATGGATTCCACGATAGAGTCAGCTGATAAAACTTTTTCGGAAATGTTTATTAGCTGGTCAAAACAAGAAAAAATCTTGAAGATCTTAATATGTTCTTCTGGTGTTTTCGCGATCGACTGATGCTTCGCATAGTGATTTGGAACCATAAATTTATATTTCACGATCGAATCGCATTTATCAGTTGACCCACTGTTATCAAATCCCGTTGACTCTTGACCCTGCCAGTCCTCTTCCAGTGGAGGTGATAGCTTGACTTTGCAGATGCTATTGTTTCTTTTTCGCTCTTTTTTCCCAAATCCCTAAAGAGCTTGCTAAATATCCTTTGGAGGATAGCGTTTATAAACGATAGATTGATAAGGGAGACGTATTGAATCACTCCTAATTTGTTGAAGTCTTAAGGAAGGGATGGATGCTACTTGATCATCAGTAATAATTAACAATTTTCTTTTCACTAAAAAATTGTTCTGGGTGGTTCTTCTTCTTGTTAGTTGTAATAACTCTTTCTTTTTCTTAATTGAAAAAATGTATCTTTCACTTTGAAAAAAGTTTTTTCGACCAAGAAAAATTATTCTGGACAATATTTTTCGTTAATTGCGATAATACATTTTTTTTCAGAAATGCTTTGTCCCTCTTTAGAGAAAGAAATATCTTGCTTAGCTGAAAAAATAACTTTCCTAGGAGAATAAGGGGGGACTCAATAAAAGATTTTCTGAGATACCCCTTTCTATTAACTGTGATTGTGGAATTACAGGAATATCTTCCTCTTTTTCAACTAAAGATATAAGATTCTTCAGAAAAGAGTCATTTTGGACAATTCTTTCTATTAACTGTAATTCTGGATCATTAGGAATATCTTTTCTCTGTGATAAAGAACTTTTGGGTGTTAATTGTAGAGTTTTACGAAAATCTTTTTCTATTAAAAATATGTTTTCTTCAAAGATACTCTTTGATAATTTTAAATCCTTTTGTATGTTTATTTTCGTTAATTGCATTAGTGAGCCAATTGAAATTTCGTTTTGCTAATAGCAAATTGCCGATCACACTTTTAATTGTTAAGTATTGACTCTTTTCAATATTATTTCTTGTCAGCCATGAATTTTCTTGAATGTACTTCTTTAGGGATAATTTAATTTCTTCAATACTTTTCGTTGTCAATTGGGAGATCTCATTAGTTATATTCCTTTAAATATCCTTTGGTGATGATAAATCTTTCTTAACATGTTTTTCTGTCAATTGTTTTTTACAATCTGTTTTCGTCAACAAATATTTTCCTGCATTCTTTTTTGGCAACAAAAGATTTTTATTAATGTCTTTATTGGTCCCCTCTTCCTTCAATAAAGAATCATGATGACTATCTCTTTTCACTAATGTTGTATTTTTCTGATTATATATTTTAACTGGTTTTTCTCCTTCAGCTAATAATTCTTCTTTTTAAACATTGTTGTTGCATTAATAATGGACTGTCCTCAGTATCTTCTTACAACAATCGTGGATTTTCTTGTATATCCCTCACTAGCACTGGACTCTTACAATTTCTGTTAGCTTTCTTTTGAATATTTTTCTTTTGAATACCTTCCTCTAAATTTTTTTTATATCTTCTTTTTGTAATATGAAACTCTGCTGATTTGTATTGTCCAATAATGCTTTCTTTGAATATGTTGTCCCTCAATGACAAAAACTCTTTTTAAATATCCTTCTTCACACCTAGATACCGCGGTATTTCTCTTCATCAATGATAGATCTTTAATAGCAATCTATCACATTTTTCGTCATCTTTCCTGAATATTTTCTTTAAAAAATTTTCCGTCCTTTTAAATCTTCCAACATAATCTACTGTTAATCGATCGTTAATCGGTAATTCAAAGGATGTGTCTGTTATTATCTTTCTAAAGTTCTTTGACTCCTTGTTGTCATTGTTTTCATTTTCAAATTTTCTATTTTTCAATCTATATTCTTCGCATTTTAAATTCAGTTTACATTTAAATTTTTCCTTTGACTTTCTACGATTGTGTGCGTTATCTATATATATCGAGCAGTCGGCAGTTGTCGCGTTGCTGCAATTTGCACTTACGAAACATCTCCCATCGGCCAGAGCTCGGGATTTTCACAAAGAAAACTAAACATTACAATGTATTGGCATTTTGCAAGCACAGATTTTAAAAACTGGTCACTCGAGGCACTTTTACCGTGCTTTAAGCACTCACGAAAATATGCCAAAGGAATATATCATATAAATAATTAAACGGTTAATTAAAAAATTAACTGACTTTCAAGAAAAGTATGTGACACCGCGACACTGCGTTCTCACCGTCGCATCACCTGAAACAAAAAAAGAATACAATATTACTATATGAAAAATTATATAAAAATTAATATGTATAATAGTTTAATAAAAAATATCAAAGAAAGAAATTATTTCTTATAATATTTACAATTCAATTTTTAAATTGCAAAATACTCTATCACGTTAGTTTTGAGAATTTGAAATTATAATTATAAATTTTTAAATAAAATAAAACTTTTCTACACATACATATCATAATCATAGCATAAGTATTATACTAAAAAATTTAATGCCTTTTTTACAACTTTATCCTCAAATTTTTTAAAATTTTGTAAAAAAACACTTTAAAAGTCAAGTCAAAATCTTTTTAATTATGTAACATAAGAAAAAATATTTTAAATATCATCAAATTTAAAGAAGTCTATAAAAAAAACTGTGAACATTTACATTATTATTCCATTAAAAAGTTTAAAATTGTTTCTTTTGCTTTTTTTTCGAACGATCAAAAAATAATATTCGATCTGCTGCTCAAAAGATCTCAACAGCAGTGCCGCGCGCTGTTTCAAAGGCTTGTTGCAAAGTGTTCCGCTGCTCACGCACGCCGTCCTTTCTTACCGTCACATCAAAACGATCCATATCAATTTTCATTAAATCCAAATAAAACCTATTACGATTACAACATGAAAATCAATACAATATGAAAATCGGTTGTACAATTACTTTTAAATACATGTCGATGGTCGTTAGTCGTCCTTGCAAAACGGCCGCCTGAGTACACTGTACCCGTTGCACCTCGGGTTGACGGCCCTTTTCAATAGATTATAAAATTAGTAAAAGATTTGTCTCATTGTTTTTGATAATTTTAAATAGAAAATCTTGTAAAACTTTACGTAAAACATTTTGTACATAATTTTTATTCAAAATTTCTCGAAAAAAAAAATGTCTTTGGTTTAACTAAAATTTTTTTTATTATAATAATGTGTGCATGCTAATTACTGATGTATTGCATTGCGATACATCGTCATGATTATATGATGCGGAGCATGTAATTCAAGCCGATAATGAGACTAGCCAGCGCTATTTTTACGACGGCGCGCAGCAGCATTCTCTGCTTTTATATCATTCTATCATCGTTACTATCATGTACGTTGTACACGTGCCATTTTGATACTTATATCGCGCTATAACATACAAAATTGAGTATATGTACAAACAGTATAGCGTTACGTAACCACTTGATTTACTCTTGCTGCAACCACTTGTTTTTTTTTCATTTATTTAGAATAATCAACTAAGTTACATATGTACGTATGTATGATCATATATCATTTGAATTATATCCACATGTATGTATCTAATACGTAATTAAATTTGCAAAGATAAAGTGTTTATATTAATACTGCATTTTATCTAATTTAAATGATTTTATAATTACTTTACGAAATAGAATAAATTAAATTATTTATTATTTGTACGTATATAGATAAATAGTGTTACTAAAATATTTTGTAAATAAATGCTATAACAATATTATAGACGCGATAAAATGAATAATATAACACACACAATTCCGCGATTTTAATAATTTACTTGATAATATTAATAACATTGGATCGCGTGTTTTCGCATTTGTCAGTAGAATTTCAATTCTCCTAATTGCTAATTAATTAGCGAACGCTAATGAGAGGCAAAAGGACCGGAAACCTCAACATCATCAAGAGCTAGTCATGTTATTTCAAAAACGCAATCACGTCTTCCATGTAGATAAATAGATGGAGTTTTCAAATCCCACGCACAACTTTTCTTCCACGCGGAGAAACATTAATGATCGGATATGAGTATATATGGTATAATCTTTATTATATCAGAATTGGAGGACAGAATTTCAATGGCTTCAATTCCGGGGCAACAACCGGTCGGCTTTTATAACAAGATCTCGGTTCGCATTATACGATATAAGTATCTGTTCAGATCACAGATTCCGAAGAAATGGTCGTCCAAAGATTGCCAATCGCTTCGATAAATATTATCAATTTAAAGACAACTAGTTATTTTCCAAAAGTAAGCACGCGCGCGATCTTATCCATTTCACATCATCATTCTATTAAAAATTATTATGCACATTTTCTAGATAATATTTACAAAAAAAATCATTATATCAATATATTTTTAACATATTCATAATATTTTTAACTTATTTATGACAATTTTATTTTTATTTTTATTTGAACTAGTCCAGCTTAATAATCTTTTTGTGTTAGAGGCTTCCTACAATAAGTCATTACCTAAGCTTAAGTAAGAAACATAACATAAGCTGTAAGAAATCGATCAATAATAGTTAAATGTGAGAAGAATAGGCGACTATGATCGGGTAATTTCCTATGCTTTAAAACTTAGGTAATAACTTGTTGTAGAAAGCCTATTAATTTTATAAAAATTTTTCACCGTTTTTGTACATCATATGGACTGCTTTCAGACCATTTCTAGCCCATTTTATGACCGTTCATATCCGTTTTTTACACTCCCAAACATTGTATCGCGAAGTGTATCGCAGTGTATCGCGAAGAAACAATGACGAGTATATGTGAGTATGTGTATGAATATTTTTAAAGATATTACCCGATTCTAAAGGTGCCTTTTCATGCTGACGCTCGACGCTCATTTTCGGCGTCAAAATAAGTCACGTGATCAAAATTGACGCTTAATATTCGTCAATTTCTATCACGTGGCTTATTTTGACGCCGAAAATGAGCGTCGAGCGTCAGCATGAAAAGGCATCTTAATACTCGTTTTTCTGCTGATGAACGATAATTTACATTGTACATGAGTATTGTTGAGTGGATTGTCGATTTTCAATGCCTATTCCTTTTTCAGATGACGTGTGTGAGTGAGAACTTTAATTACATTTCTCTTTTACTTAATTTCGTTCAATACGAAAGAGATACGTTAAAAGAGTTATACATTTACATATCGTATATTAATTATCACATCAATTTAAAATTATGCAAACAAAAAGGTATCATATATTATAAAATTTTTTTTAGATATTTTATATGATTATAAATAAATTGAAATAGAATTTATATACACAATAGCATAACTCCAATAATTACATTGCGAGAGGATTTACGCCGCAGAAGTCAGAAAGAATAGTGGGGATAATTTACATACAACCTATTTATTATTTATGCCTTTACTTTATATTGGTGCTATATTATGATTTCAATTTAATTAACTGAGTGTATAAGACTCTAAGAATCAATGAAGCAAGTTATCGAAACACATCAAATTATCCTTCTGATAGGGTTGCCAACTTCAAAATTCAAAGTTATAGGTATTTTCACGAGAATTGTATAAAATTATCAGCTTTTACCATAACCGCAACCCTTAAATGATTTCGGAGACGATAATTCAAAATAAAGCTATGTGTAATTATAAGTAAAAACAATTATAAACTTTATTTATTAAAATATATGAACATTAAATAAACGTAGCTGAAATACTTAGTCTACTTTTTTGTTTAAAATCATATTTTCTGTCTGATTTGGTAGCAACTATCAATGTAGATTGGTCAGTATATGCAGCGTGGAATTCTGACCATGTTTTTTTAATATTCATATGAACTCAAATTTCTGCCTTGACCATATCCACCGACAGTCGGTTGTTGATCATCTGTTCATAAATTATTCATATGCTAAAGATACATTC